GCCTGCGCTCGGCCGCCCAGCTGCGCGTCTGCAGCGACGGAGGGGTCGTCGTGGGTGCCGCGGAGCGCGCGGAGGAGGAGGGGCCGCCCGCCGCGGGTGAGCGCTCGGCCCCCGCTCCCACCCGTCCCTCGACCCGCACCCGCCCCTTGTCCCCGCACTCGTCCCTCGTCCTCCGCCGCGCCCACCCCTCGCGTCCTCCCCGCGCACCCTTGTTCCAGTCGCACCAGTCCCCGCCCGTTCCCATCCCTGCCCGGCTCCGCTCCCCACCCTTACCGTCCTTCCCTCGCGACCTGCCCGTCAGGTTCAGCCCGACCCCATACCCACTCCGGGAGGAAGCCTGGGGAAGGGCCTAGCCAGGAGGACGGGGATGCCAGGTCTGCCCCGAGGCGGCCGCGGGCTGGGGCCGGCGTGGCTGCGGCTCCTGCCCGCCGCCGCCGCCGTGCCAGGCCTCAGTGCTGGATGCTGGCCGCAGCTGCTCACATGCGGGTGCGGCGGCTGTGCTTGTTGTTGCGGGCTGTGCACCTGTGTGTGCTCGCCTGTGTGCTGGGCACCTGTGTCCGAGGATCTGCGCCGTGTTGTTCGCCCGTGGGCTGTGGAGCTTTGAGCTGCGCGTCTGTGGTGTGCATGCTCACCTGTGTCCGTGCCGACCGTGAGCCGCGGGTCAGTATTCACCTGTGCCTGTGTTCGTTCACCTGTGGCTTGTGTCGGGGGTGCTGTGGCCTCACAAAGGGCCTGTCCCACGCTTCCCTGCCTGTGGCAGGAGGGCTACACCTTTCCCAAGCAGCTGACAGCTCCTGGCGCACTGACCGTGTTTGTATTTGGCCTTTTTTTTTGGTACCAAGGGTTGAACTCACAACCTTGCACTTGGCAGGCAGCCTCTGTGCCACTGAGCTATACCCAGTCCTAGTGAGCTAACTTTGACTGTTTGTTTGGCTTGGGACTGTGGAGTAGATGGCTGAAAAATAGTGTAAATAATGGTTTTGGGGTACTGGAAGTTAGAAGGTTGCTATTTCTTACTTCTGTATTAAAATTGGTTGTGAGGAAAAGCAGGCTTGTACAAAGATGACAGAATGTTGAGACAAATAAAAATGGGCTTTGGTTATGTGCGTAATGTAAATATTTCAGGATTTGTCTCCTAAACCATCACTTAGGGTGCTCACAGTGCTTTATCAGTGATTAGGGTTGGTTATAGGCTTCTCCTACCAGTTTTTACCTAATTCAGTCTTTTGAGAGGCAAGTCGACTAAAAACATAGAAAAACAATCCACCCTCACACTTAAAAAGTTGATGGAAATGTCAAAATGCTAAGTTGAAAGATGTAATTCAGTAAAGTGGTATAAAAATCCTTTTCTAAATTGATGAGAATATTCAAGATTATAGTTATCAACTCTGCCAGAGAAACATAGACAACCTAACAATTGTCTACAGTTACGGGTTACTATAGAGTGTTTCAGTGTAGATATACATCATATAATATTTAAAGAAAACCAGCCTTTTACTATTCTTTGGAATATTTTTCCAGTACTAGGGATTGAACTCTGCAGCCCCAGAACTTTGAATCATTTGGTTTGTCAAGCTGCTTGCCTCCTGCCTCTGCTGCCCTGAGTGCTAGGCTTACAGGTGTCACCACACTCAGCTGAAATTATATTTATTTCCAATCAGATTTTAGAGTTTTTGATGTATTTCTTACTTTTAGAGTTAGACTTGCTGATGATAGAAAATAGTTGCTGTTGTGTTCTTTATTCACAGTACATTAAGAAGGTGTGAAAAGATACGATTTTTAAATACAGTGAAGTTGGGCCTCAGTGTATAGCTGTTATAAGAAGAAGAATGGTTGCGCGTGACCTGTTTTGGGAAGCAGTGCTGATGGTGGTGATTTACGGGTGAGCCAGCCAGTGGCACAGACTGTCCTGTGAAGCTGGCCTGCGAGGGCGGTGTCAGGGCTGAGAAGGGGCTGCCTCCGAGTGCGCCACTCTCGGAGCTGAAGGTCCGCCTGGGTCGCGGGCTGACATGGGGCCACTGTGCAGTTGAGGAAAGCACTGTCAGTAGTCAGGTTCCAGAAGCGGAGACGGCTCGGGTGCTGTCTTGACCACTGGACCGGAGCCCAGCTGAGGAGCCAACGCTGAAGTGTATCTGTCACCTCAGTGCCTTTCCTCCTAGGAGGTGGGAGCTGCAGCAGCCTGGATGCGGGAGATGGTTGGTACTGAATGTTTAATCTGGATCCTGAAGGGTGCAGTTTGGAGTTGCTCATACAGGGCTGACTTCTGTTTCTGAGGGAAGTCTATGTGGCTGACCCTGCGTGGCCAGCGCACTTCCTCTTCCGGTGTGTTCAGCATGGTCGGGTGTTCAGCAGTCCACAGCAGGGTTCACAGTTTCCCATGTTGTGCATGGATATATTTCTGCATTTTTGGAGGGAGGCATGGAACAGGCTGGTTATTTGCTCAGTCATGCTGGTGACTGGAATCTGATCAGGGCCTTTGCCCTCAGGCTGATGGCCTTGTGGAAGGACATGGCCAGGTTTGATCCCTGGAAGAGGGCTGACCTTGGGTGAGACTCCCTAGCCTCCTGTGTGCAGCCTTCCTCCCCGTCTGTGCCTGTACTCGAGGGGACTCACCTCGGTGCCATTGACACTTTGGCTGAATGAGTCTTTGTTTTGGGGCTGTCCTGCCACTAGATGCCACCCCCCAGCTTGAGAACAAAAAGTCCTTTTCTGGGGTAGAGCCCTGGGGAGGTGGGGCACAAGCCACAGCCAGTCAGTCACCCACATGCTGGGGTTGGCTGGCTGGAGAGAAGTGAACTTGGTGGTTGTGTGCGCGAGTGTGCATGTGTGTGATGGAGCAGGCCTGTGGGTGCTCCCTTGTGAGCGTCTGCTGCCTTTGCTGCCCTCGCTGGTGTGGAGCTTGGCGTCCTTCCCTATGCACAGCACATGGTGTCCATAGCACCCTAAGGCAGCGCGCACCCCTGCAGGCTCCTCACCACTCAGCAGGCTGGAGGGCTGTGTCCGAGGGTGCCGTGGCAAGCACAGGTCTGCGGTGCTCAGTCCTCAAGCATTGTTGTCCTCTGTACTTGAGCCTGTAAGTGGCTGAATCCATAGCTGTGAACCCCGCAGTGCTGAGCATATGCCCCAGAGGGGGTGGCCCTGAGAGGGGAGGACTGCATGAGGCAGGCAGGTGGCTGCTGGGGAGAGGGTGGCCAGGGCCTGGACCTGAGGTGGTGTATGCCCAGCGCTGTATCCCGGTTTTGGTCATAGTATGCTGCAGAGCTGCAGGCAGGGAATTCGGGTTTGCAGAGTTTTGAGGTTACTGGCTCTCCACAGGCTTGAGAACTGTCCTTTCCCCCAGTTTTTACATTTCGTCAAAGTGTGATGTTGCTGTGCTGAGTCCACTCTGCATGTGTGACAGCATCTTCACAGCTCCACCACGTCATGAGGACTTAAAGAGACCCTGAGGCCCCAGGTGTTCTCACCTGCATACCCAAGGGGTATTCGCAGTGTATTCTGGTCGAAAGTAGCACAGGTACAGTATAGGAATATTCTAGGTCTTCCTGTGACTACAACATTGATTTACTGGTGCTACTAGCAATTGAACCCAGTGCCTTTCTGTGCTAGGCAAGCACTCTACTACTAAGCTACACCCCAGCTTTTTTTTTTTTTTCTTTTTTCTTTTTTATGTATTTAGTACGGGGTCTCATTCCACTATGAGCTTGGACTCATAGTGATCCTCCTGCTTTCAGCCTCCCCAGCACTGGGATTACAGGTCTGCACCAGTATGCCTGGACTCAGTGGCCAGCTCAGTGCGTTGGGGGTGGGTGGACCAGCACGGCATGTGGAGGTGGGGATCAAAATCTGATCTCTGTGCTTGCCTGAGCAGGCACCCAGTCTGCTGAGCTATCTCACTGGCCCCCAGCTCTTTTTCATTTTCTAATTTTGAGACAAGGTCTCACTAAGTTGCCCTGATTGGTTTTGATCCTACTGGCTCAGCCTCCTAGATCATTGGGAGTACAGCCGTCCACCACTATTTCTGGCCTTCTCTGGCATTTTTAGAAGAATTAATCTTATTGCAGTATTAGGGAGTAGAATCATTCTTAGTCTCATCAGCTTCCTAGGCTTAAATACTCATGGTAGCATTCATTGCACATTTTGGTTTCATGTTTTCTTTCTTTTTTTTTTTTTTAATAAATTTTATTTATTTATGTGTGTGTGGGGAGGGGGGGGCCAGCTCAGCCCACCAAGGGGCGGGCTGGCTGGCATGTGGTGCTGGGGGATTGAACCGCGGTCCCTGTGCTTTGCTAAGCTTGTTCTAAGTAGGTGCTTTAGACCACTGAGCCATCTCACCAGCCCCTTCATGTTTTTGATATACCTTTAGGTTTAGATGTATAAAAAACATTTAAAAACTTAGGGCCAGATCTTGACTGTGAATAACCGTGGCATTGAGGAAGGTCTCCCAGGGCCTGGACCAGGGCTGCATTTCTGAGCTCTCAAATCCTGGTGAAGACAGGTAGATCCCCTGAGGCAGGAATGAGGGGCCTTGCCTGTTGGGACGGGGCAGCCATGTGGGGGACGTTTGTGTTCGCCTGTGTCAGGTCAGTTCCTGCTGTGAGGAGCAGCAGTTGGGTTTCCTTTTGATTTAAGTATGAATCAGTGTTGGTATGAGAGAAAACATGAAGGCCTGGCAGCCCCCATCTGTGACCTCAGTTTGAGGCCAGCTTGGGAAATTTTGGTCACACCTTTATTTTTTTGTCAAGAAATAAAAAGGGCTGGGGTGCAGCTTAGTGGTAGAGGGCTCAGGGTTCAATCCCCAGCCTGGGAGGGAAACATAGAAAATAAGACACTCACTAGGTGACAAACACACCACAGAGCTGGCACAGTGCCACTTTCAGGCTCTGCGTTCCATAGGTCCCTCCACATCTGCGGAGTCTTGGTCTCAGGTCTGAGGCTTCCTCCAGGTCCCCAGCTTGGCTTCTCCAGCAGGCCGTCCACACCTGCCAGGGCACGCAGGGCCATGTGGCGGCTTCTGTCAGCCTTTGGGCGAGGGAGCCGGTGTCATCACTGCTCCGGTACGTGGGTCAGGACGCCCAGGAAGCCACTACCTTGCTAAG